CGGAGAGACTTTGTCCAAAAGTTCTGAAATTTTTTATGCAAACTAGTCTAGCTGAGATGTTTATGTGGGCAAAGTTTCAGATCAAAATTCAAAAATATGGCCTTGCTGCAAGTGTGAGGTCTTATAGGAAAAATTCACTAAAACCTCGATATCTCACTAGGAACAAGCTAGAGGCACGAACTTTTTTTACGGTAGACATAATTTATCAAGGCCTATAAGATGCGCAAAGTCCCGATTAAAAATCGCTTCAACACCTGGGAATGTTCCCTCGTTAGTTATCTAAAATCTACTCTCAAGCGCACATGATTGATCTAATACTTTCACTGTCATGTATGTTTTGGTCAAAGTACTATTGGAATCGGAAAATCTCTCCTTATAAATTATATTCATTATTTTCCTTTGTCAAATAAATGAATTTCCAAAAAAAAAATGCCTATTTCAATGAATATTCATTGCCCAATGCCCTCTGATACGTTGACTACTAGCGACATTTGTTTAGTCACGGTGGTTGTTGCTATGAGAAATACCATGACCGATGGATTGAAAAAATTTCTTTTCTTTTTCGTGTTACATCTTAACTAGGGAACGCTTTACTTGATCGGTTATTTAACTAGAATGGATAATTTTTTAATTTATGAAGAAATTCATAAACGTGATTCTTGTATTGTTTATCGTGGTCGAATAAAACGATCAATTGATTTTGTTATGATCTATTGTGTTGATAAATTTAAACGACATGAATTAAGTAATCTCGTATGTATAATATTCAAAATATTTCTTGATTCTTTTTTATTTTTATTTTTTATTTATATTAAATGTTGTATAGGTTCGATTAATGTATGAACTTGATCATTCAAATGTAATGAAATTTCGAGAATGGTATGAAACAACAAATCATCTTTGGCTTGTTATGGATTTATGTGATGGTATAATAAATTTTTTCTTTTTGAAATCTTATTTTATTTATTGGTTTTTTTTTGTTCAAAAAAAAAAGGTGGTTCACTTAAATCAATTATACAAGCTGATGGATCTTTACCGGAAACATCTATACGTACTATTGGTGTTCATATATGTCAAGGTTTATATTATCTTCATCAACAAGATATTATTTTTTGTGATCTTAATCCTGAAAAAGTAATAAAAATAAATTTTTCTTATGTTTTTTTTGTATTTTTATATAAATAGATTGTTTCGGATGGTTCAAATATATTTAAATTAGCAAATATGACATTATCAAGAATGAAAGGAGAAAATTTACAAGCAATTTTTGATGAAACTTATGATAATTATCTTGATGATGTTTATCGAGGAAAAGAACGACCAAAAGCACAAACTGGTAAATAGAAATTATAAACAAAAAAAAATGAGAATCAATAATAAAATATATCAAAATATTTTTATTTATGATTATAGAAAATAATTTTTATACAGCACCAGAAATACTTCGTGGTGCTGAATATTCTGTAACTTCAGATTTATGGTCACTTGGATGTATTTTATATGAAATGTTTGCTGGTAAAATTTTTGTTTTCTTATTATAAAAATTTATTTATTTCATTTAAAAAATATTCATATATTTTAGGACGACAATTATATGATGAAAGAAATGCAAATAAATTAACACAAAAAATTCTTAATGATCGTTTTGTTTTACCAATGGCGAGAGGTTCAGCTAAACCATCAATTGAATTTGCTAGTTTATTACAAGGTTTACTCGTTAAAGAACCAGCAAAAAGGTATGATCAATATTATTTATTACATAGAAAACTAAATCAATTCAATAAGATTAAAAAGATTGTTGTAAAGAAGAATAGTACCTGAGAATTAGATTTTTGTATTTAGTCATTAGAAAGATAGGCGATTGTGTTGAACTAATTTCAGGAAAATGGTAGTAGAATTTTTAATAATTGAAGTCTGTATAGAAGATAAATTCATTTACAATATTAAAAATGAATATATTTTAGACTCGATTGGCCTGGTATATTAACCCATCCATTTTGGACAGGTCAATTAAGTTATCTTGTTCGACCACAAACAGGTGCTGCAATAAAGAAAAGTGTCAATCAAAATGAAACACACGGTATTTTAAAATAAAAGAATCTTATTTTATTAATAAATAAATAAATTTAGATCGTCCACCACTTTCATCTCGATTAGCTACAACAGATCGACCAGAATCAAATGTATCATTTAGTTTAAGGTAATATGATTAATTATTTCAATAATATAAATAATAAATTATATTTACAGTTGTACAAAAACATCTATTCAAATAGCTCAACAAAATAAAACAGATGAAACTGATGGTAATAAAACACATCGAAATGATTATTCATCAATTAATACACATGAACAATCAACATCATTTGGTGGTGAAACTATTGAACGTCTTCGAAAAATGCTTTTTTCAAAAGCTGAATTACAACCAACAACTATTGTTGAAAATAAAACTATTCAAAAAACATTACCATTTAAATTTGAAAATAAATTATTACCATTTCAATTAGGAAAATGTAAGAATCTTTTAGTCGATAGTTTCATTTGAGGAAGATACAACAGAAGATTTTTCACCATGCGAACAAATTTAAATCTATACATAAATAAAGCTAGCTATTTGACAGCTGATATATTTAAAGTTTTTCATTACAATGACCTGAGATTAATAGATACGAAATTTTATTAAAAAGAATTCTAATTATAGAATTTTTTTTTGTTCAGTTCGAACAAGGGGTGTTACTTTAACTTTAAAAACACTTTAAGAAAGTATAAAGTTTAAAGTAATACTTTAAACTTTAACTTTTGAAGTTTAAAGTATCACTTTAAACTTTAACTTGACCAATTAAAGTTAAAGTAGATATGTTGACATAGTCTTAAATAATCATATTAGGAGGATACCCTTAAGTCCTCAAGTCCTGCATTAGGAGGGTACCCTAATAATATAGGACTTGAGGACCTAAGGGTACCCCTATTATATAGGACTTGAGGACTTAAAGGTACCCTCCTAATATGATTATCCAAGACTATGTCAACATATCTACTTTAACTTTAATTGGTTAAGTTAAAGTTAAAGTTTAAAGTGCGTTACTT